TGAGAACGTCGTGACAGTAATTTGTAATTATAAGAGCGAAAGGGAAACCTCCCTCTCGTTCTCTCTAGCGAGCGGCTCGCTCGCCGATAAATGCCGTCGGAAAACGGCATATGTTAACGACGGACATACACTGTAGCGAGAGCACGCGATATCGCGTAATCTCCCTTGAAATTCCTCCCTTCCTCATGATTAAAAAAGTTTCATCGCGAAAAGAGAGATTCGTCTCTACGAGATCTTTTTTTGCGAATTTCTGTGTCTTTTATAATCGCGCTTATTGCTGCTTTCTCTTTCTCTGTCAACTGTGAACATACGTGAAGCACGTCGCGTCACCAGCGACCGTCAGCCGTTATTTAACAAACTTTTCTTTCTCCCGTGATAAAGACAAATAATTCTGGCATATAATGGCGCAATGCGCACATTGTGACTGAAATAACAACTTTAATTATTACATCATCGTCGGAAAACTCGAAGTAATTTTGTTTCGCTCGTCGCCCGTCCGCTCGCCCGCCCGCCGTCATCTCGTTCGCAAACTGCAGCTTTATTCTCCCCTCCCTCCTCCCGCTCACGAGTTAACTAATTCTCTTTCAGTGTTACTTAACTGGAATAATCGTTATTGTGTCTAGTTAAAGCGTCCATACACAGAAAACATCGCTTTGATGTCACTATTCCAATAAATAAATGAAGCGTTAAGGGCTAAGTGCAAAGAACGGAGCTAATTAAAATTTGACGAAAGACCAAATGACTCACGCTTTAAAAGAATTATTCGCGCATATAACGTGCTATTATATTATATATTACACGGGGCTTTCGAATGTTTGTTGTTGTGCGTCGATAATTTCGTTGGCTCGAACGACGATTCAATTTACGGACGCGGGATCAGCTGATCGCCTGAAAAGTGGACAGAAAGAGGTGCGAGCGGGATATGTAAATTTGTAAAGATATGCGATATGTATTTTTCTGCGCGTACTGTCGAGGAAAGAAACATGGCTGGGAAGCTGACGAGCTTCAGCGAGCTCCCGGTACCAATTTTCGCGACTTCTGCGACGAACTTTCCGTCGATTTCGGCATATTCACGCGTAGCGTGGTGTCGATTTCCGGAAATCCCGAGAGCGCATTAATTGTTCCCGCCTAACAGGGGAAGTTGCGGGAGTTGCCGAACATCTGCCTTTTCCCAAGGGACGTAACAACGTTTGTATCTCGCCGCAAGACGCATTCCCATCGTGTTCTTGTGACCGAGGCACGCCATGGGAACAAACTTTACGTCAACCTTAGCGTAACGTGCAAACTGGTCCCTCCACAGAACACCTTATTAGACTTCGATATTTGATGGTTGATCCTTTCTTGCTAGCTCGTCGCGCGTCACGTCCGAAAATCCCACCCAATTTGGTCTCTCAATTAAAGTCACGTATTTCAGCGAGACAAACCGCCGACAAACTCTACTTCACTGTCAACCGCTGGAAGTGGATGAAACTTACTTGATGGACGTGCAGTCGGCTCTCGAGTAACGCAATCAGCTCGAATGGCGTAACAACGATGCGGATCTCCAACAATTGCGAGGCTCATTTTTCGAGAATTAAACCGATCGATTTCGTTTATCCTAAACGTTTGAACTTTGAAAACTTGTACCAATTGTGCGCTCCGTATAATATAGAAATTAAAAAATTCTCGAAAAATGCAAATGTTCGATTTTCACTTCTGACAGACTCAAATTAAATTGAGCCTGATAAATATTTGTATCTCCTTTTAACCCATTAGCGTTCCATTGACGGGTAGCACTTTTTATTGAATAAAATCTCTCGTGCTCGATTAATGTACAATATTATTTTTATATTCTCAGCGGTGCTAAAAACTTCAGTCATATCTGTCTTTTCGATAAAAATAGTTCTATAGTTAATTTGAGACCTCCAGAGAAAATGGAACAGGTCGGTTCTTTGATCAAAAGTATTTATCAAATAATTATGACATTTAATAAGTTAATATATATTGATTGCCATAAAAGGATCTCGAACGACCGGGTGTGCAACATTTTCACATCTCAATAATTAGCATGCGAGAAGGCAGCAATTACACCTGACAAATTAAATTAAATACACGGCCACTAGCGAGTCGAGGAAACCAACTAACACTCTCGAATCGCGTTTATTCGCCGTGTCTTTGATTATTCAAATTTTAGCTGACCTTTGAAACAATCATCGGAGGAAATCGACGCGGCGATCAACGCGTTAACCTCGCTCGACAAATAAAGTCTGCAAAAGGCAGAGGCCGTTCGCCCCCTCGCTGCCTCCGGCCGACCTTCCTGCCGGGCGCGCTTCGGAAATTTTGAGCGGAAATGTGTTTCCAAAAAGTCTCATCGCGAAATAAAAAGCGTTCCGCTCCGTTGAGCGGAGCGACCGATAATTCCTATCGCCTCGCTTCTAAAAATGCCCGGCCGTGCGCTTCGCAGACTTCACCGCCGCGCCGGAATAGGAAAGAATTCACAATATAACGCCGCAATAAAAAGGGTGACATTCTCCTCAAGCGCCATTGTTCAGCCTCCGCCTCTTTACGTCCTTTCTTCCTTCCTTCCTTCCTTCTTTCCTGCCATCCTGCCGTCTAGTAAAATAAAGAAGCATCCGTTCACCGAGCTCGCGAAAGCAACTACCCGCCGATTAAGGGACTGAGGCAGCTTAACGCTGCTTTATGCGGCACTTTATCGCGTGTAACACTTTATTGCACGCATTCGACGGCGATGGCGAGGCGCATAGTCTACGCGCCGAGATTCCCCGTAGCCTTGGGGCCCTCATCTCCCTAATAAACGCGAAGTCTTCGCGCGGAGGACGCCCCCGAGCAACGGCGAAGAAGCGCCGACGTTACTGCGAAGCGGATATCGGGGTATAAAAATATACGGTCGATACGGCGCTCAAAGATTACGATCGTGCTTCGTGGCCGCTCGTAGCGTTGATTTCACGCCGTGTATCGATCAACGTGTTAATTAGGAAGCGGCTCCAGAGAGGGGGCTTGTTTGGAGACACTCGAATCCATCGCGAACGCGCTCCCTCCTCGATAGCGTGCGCGCACGGCCTTGCTTATTATCTGTTATCTAAGCGGCTTGCGTCACGCTGAGTGTCTTTACATAATGAAATCGAGCTGCTTTCAGCACATAATAAATTTGCCTAATGGCGCCGGCCATTTTCAATCAAAGCAAATGACATTCGCTCCTTCTCTCCGCCTCCTCCCTCGTTGCTCCAAGGCGGGCGGAAAAAAGTTGCATCGTAGTCACGAAGCCTGGAAATAACGTAACGTTGCGACGACAAAGCGCCGTCCGTGCGCGCCAGTCACGCTGTTACGCGAACATTTCAGCGAAGAGCGGCGATAAAAAGCCGAGATACCGATAACGTGCGGACAACCCCGGGGTTAATCTTGTCGGCGGGGATTCTTCTTCGTCCCGGCACTTCATCATTTCAAGGTTGCTGCTTTTCCCTCTTCTCCCTTTTCTTCGTCTCTTCACCGGCAAGCACGACGATAAGAAAGAGAGAGAGAGAGAGAGACAAGAAATGTTAGACTCGCGGCTGCCTTCAATTTCGCGCTTCGTTTAGGCGCGACACGCGCGATCATCTCGTCTCTTCCGTCTACGGCAAAACAAACGAAACAGCATGACGAGTCGCGAGATGAGGGGGAGAACGGCAGAGGGGAATCCCGAGATGTAATTGCCCGCGCATTTTTCGCGCTTTATCCACTGTCTGGCGGGGCTTTTAGCGCTAAGCGAGTCACCGTGAAGACTGAAACACGAGACTTCTCGGGATTTGTCGAAGATTCTTTCGCCGGCGAGCACGTCATCGTCGATGGGGGGAGTCGTCGAGGGGCTGAAAATCCCACGACGGTCCCTCCGGCGCGACCGGGGCTATAATGTCGTTTAATAGTATCCTTCCAAGGATATACGTCGGTCGTGAGTCCTCCTTTTTTACGAAAATACCCTTAATAGTACTTTAATGATGCATCATGGCATCCGGATGCGGTCATATTCACTGCGTTCATTATACACAGGTGTACATTCCCGCGGTCGATATAGGTCCGCTTTTTCATTATTAACGACGCACGCCTGAGAAATATTCGCGAGGCCTATGCGTGACCGGCATGATAATTTCAGGGTCGACGCAGGGCGAGAGCGAACGCGGCCGACGAGGCTTCGCGAATGATCGATGATTCTTTAATCGCGTGTCATTGACGTTTAATAAGTCAAGTTCGCGAATACGATGATTTATGTACCACCGGTGGCGAAAGAAAACAAAAAGGTGAGGAGACAAAGGCAGGGCGAGCAAATTCGCGCGGGTCTGGATGTATCGGCCAAGGGTGCCAGTAATCGGGAAAGAGAATGGGAGGGAGAGAGAGAGAGAGAGGGAGAGAGAGAGAGATTTGGCGGCGAGCTCGAAAACGTCGAAACTGCATACACGAAAAGTGCAAACGAATGTCGCGTCGCAGCGGCCATCGCGGCTGTATCGCGAAAACGGTGACCGAAGAAGCGTAACCGATATTTATCAAACATAGTCGAGCGCACGGCTCTCTGAATAATGTATGAGAGCGAGCGATGCGCGAGCCGGGAGAGGCATTTTCAGCGCCACCGGCCTTTATTCGCTTTTTCCCCTTCCTTTTTTACTTTCCCCCTTTCGCTGCTTCGTCCTACGAGAGATGCATGCGTTTGTCATTGCTGTCCCGCGCGCGGACGCAGAGCGCGACATTTTTCTTACGCAGATCCACCCGTCGGAATAATAGCGCTCTGCGGGATCCGCCCCGTCGAAGTGAAATCCTTCACCAGGAGCAAGAGCATCCTCGACCGTTCTCCGTCGGGAGAGACCGGATTCTTCCCTGGCGGGACACCGGCGAATTGCCGATAAAACGAGCGATTCTCATAATGCCGGGTGCTTCGATCGCGATAAATCGATCGCAACAAAGTGAAATTCATAACGTGATTTTAATTACAAGACGCCGTTCATTAACGTGCACACTCGTTCTTCGGATTACAGGTTGTTACGGCAGTGAAGTTCTCATTGTGGAGGGAAGCGATCGACCTAGAAGACATCGGCATGTTACGATCTCACCGAGCAAACATCACGACGCCAATGGAAGTGGTACGCGTGCATACTCATAAAAGAAGCTATAACAAGGCAATAGATAAACAGATAGGTAGATAAGCAGGTAGACGCTAAATAAATATCACACGATTGGCCTGACTTTTTTTCGAGAAATTAGCGCACACTATCGGGACTGAGAAAGAAACAGATGAGACTCGGTGGAGAAGAGAGGACCAGGAGACTAATGAAAATTAGCACAGCCGATTCCCAGCCGGAGGAAAAGAATAAATTAGACGTGAAGTAAAAAAACACGAGACAAAAGAAACACGATTTGGAAAAGACCGTAGACAAAAATATCCGACCATAATTCCCTGAAACTTTCTTTAATTATTTCCTCGAGATACCTAACGATGGCAGAATCCGAAAGCCTAACGAGAGTCCCGCTAGAAATCCCGTGATGCCCTCTGAATGCTCGCTTACAGACGACGTGACAAAAATCGAGGTGGTGCTCGAGGAAGCACCGGATGCTGTCATCGGCGGCTCCATGTCATCGGAATTGGTGCCCACCAGCGAACTCAATTCCACCTTTCCCGATGGTGAGTCTAACAGTTTCATATTGTCTCGGGAAGACCGTAATCCTCCTTATTCTCGTTCCCGTCGTGTTTCGCAATATCCTCCCTGTCCAATCTGCTAAAATACAAGATATGAAAATGTCGAGGAATATCCGGACAAAGAACCGCGGGTCCCGACCTCACGAAACGCTACTCGTTCCTCACCTCGTGCTCATGAGCGGACGAGGTCAATTTATTTCGCTAATCCGTCGCCGCGCTGCTCGATAACTGAAGAAAGAAGCGAGTTCGCTCTGGTCTCCCGCGCGGCACCCTGAAAAGTCGCGTTAAAATAAAGTCACATTTGTCAGCCGGCAGCATCCGTCTTCGCGCGAGCGGCGTTTATTCGCGATCCAGTTCGCGATAAGCCGCAGCTCAGCGGGGAGGAAAAAAGAAGAAAGAGAAGCAGAAGAAGAAAAGGAACGCGACCGCCGCACCGGGGGGAAATATACGGCGAGAAGCTCGACGAGTTCCCTGAAACATTGATCGCGCATTCTCCCACGTTACTTTCGACATCTCGGGGATCCCGCGAGGACGAAAGGATCCTCGGCCGCGTGTTCTCCCACGATGTGAATTTTTGACGCGACTCATCATGATTGCCCCGTCCCTATCGCGGCAAACTGATACAAACGACCCGTGGGAGTCGCTCCGCACATCTCCCGATGTGTTTATCCCTCTCCGTTCTTCTTCTCGCTCTTCTCATTTTTCTTTCACAGCCACGCGTCGTGTCGATTCAATTCGACCGTCGTTCATCAACCGATTCAATTCGCCCGGCGATTATTCGATGCGCCGCGAAGGCCTCTCGCCGACTGAGTAACGCGGCCCCCTGACAAAAGCGCATAACGCAAGGCGAATGACGCCGGCTTCGAAGGTAAACGCGCGTAACGCTAAAGGGTGATTTACACGATGCTACTTTTGACACTTGACGCTGGCTTCTTTCGTCGCCGCAGCTTCTCGCTTTCCTAGAGCGAATTTCTGCTCTCTCAAAGTGAATCAGTGATCACCACTGAACAATTCAGTGGTATATTTAGCATGCACTGACAATCAGTGCATAATCGCTGATCGACAGTGAGTTTCACTGATGCACTTTGAGAGAGTGGCTGACAAAGTCGCTAGCGTTGGAGCATTTACACGATGCTGATAAACAGCGTTTAGTTGCTAACGTTTTAAGGGAAATTTTGTGGAAACGGTCAGTTAAAAGGATCATGGCGTCAAGGAATTAGGACATAGTTCAAGCTGCTATCGTGCTTTGTGCACGAGCTCTTCAAACAGAAATTCGTGGCTCAGTAAACAAAATAAAAAAAAAAAAGAATGTGGGTACGTATAAGTGGATAGGTAGAAGATTAACTCATAGTGCGTCAAATAATCTTTTCCAAAGAATTGGCATTAGAGGATCCAACTGCATACCGTAAAGTATTGCGGTTAACGTGCGAGAAATATGAAGAACTTTTGAAAAAGGTGCATCCGCTTATGCAGAAAAAAGACAGTTTAATGTCGCTTGACGCGAGCGGTAAAAGTTGGACATGTTCAACTTTGCCATAGCGACTAATAGACGCGCTGCGTCTTCCAAATTTTAGACGCTAGTGAATAAAAATCGAGCGTCTAGAAGAAGTTTCTCACCAGCGAATTTGCTGGCGACTTAAGAAGCTTGCTGGAAACGAGTAACAGCAGCATCGTGTAAATCACCCTTAACCGAATAACGCTCCGAATGGCGAATATGCGTAACGCGCGCGCGTCAGTACGAAGATGGGAAGTTAAATAATTGATTACCGCGCGGCCCCCGCGCGCGCCCCCGGCTTGCGCACTTCCCCGAGCGTCGGCTTTTCGTTAACTGCGGCGGACGTTAATGCGATATATGTAGTTTGAGCGCGTTTCGCTGCCGTCGCTTATCCGTTTTGCTGACATACGCGTGGCCGTACGTGCGTGCGCTCGTCGAATTCTACGAGGACTCCGAGCCGCCCGAGGGTTCGCGATGAGAAATCGTCGCTCGGCGAAGACCGATCGCGTAATCGGCCGCTTGAGTCGCAAACACATCAAGTGAAAAATTCCATGAACTCGGCAAAATCGCGCGGGGGATCCGGCATCAGTATGCGTGCTCTCTCGTGTCGCGGAGGGGGGAACTATAGCGATCAGCTGGCTCCCGCGGCAGTCGTTTTTTCCCTCTTTCATCCGTTCTCGGCTTCCTTTTTTCCAAGTTGACCTAACCGAAGTTACTTTAATTAAACTGAAAGTTCTTTGAAGTGCGCGAAGTTGCGAGAACGCGTGAAAATTTCCGGCCCGCTCGAGACGAGGAGCGCAGGGAAGAAATTTAGAGTAGGTATATACGGATTATATATACATAGAGGATTTCGTTGCATCTCAAATTTCTCTCTCTCTCTCTCTCTCTCTTTCTCTCTCTTTCTCTCTCTCTCTCTCTCTCTCTCTCTCTTTCTCTCTCTCTCTCTCCGTGTCTCTCTTGCATAGCTTGCGCGGATGCCGGGACAAGTATGCCGGTATTATGAACGCGCGGAATCTCCCCTTTCGTTCTGATTTTCTACGTGATAGCTCGCGACGTAGAATTCTCCCCCTCTTGAGAGGGTCAACTCTGTTGGCGAGCGAACCGAGATATCAATTTATCAGTTTGATCGTTTGCCATGTGAACGTACGAGTACTACTTACGGAGCGTTGTTAGGGTCATTGTAGAATCGCCAACAAAGCTTCACGTTTGAACGAACATCGAACATCCTGGCGTTGCAAGGTGAGCTTGATGTTTCCCCGGCTGGTTTTCTTCCGTTAGCACGTTGCCGTTAGCCCGCAGGGTTGACCTAATTATAATTGCAATTAGCTCACCGAACAAAGGAACGTGTGTGGAAATTTTGGATTATACATTAGCGCTGTCATTGTTTCAGTTTTAACCCTCCCTATACCCATCGAACTTCGTCGGACCATATTTTAGTTCTTCCGGGCTTCTCTTTTCAGCGGTTCCAACCGCAATATTTGCAGCGGTTAACAGCTTAATTGACATTTTATTGATTCCTATATTGGTATTTTATTGATATTTTTTATTGACATTTTATTCTTTCTTAAGCAGAATTGACGCTTCATTTTAACTTAGAGAGAAAGAAAGGAAAGGAAACTTATTGATTTTTTTCTGTCAAAATAAAATACATTGATTTCTTTATTTAATAAAGTAATCTTCATTTAATCAAGACTACGATGATATATCAAGAGAGAGAAAATGTTTAAAGTCAATTTTACAAATCAATTTTTAATTCGTTAACTACACTACACTCGTTATAAACATTACCACAAAAATGTGTTAGTGAAATATCGAAGTATCGAAGTACATTACGCGATACGAACAACCGAATTTGGACGGATCGACTGGAAAGATACGACGGGTCGCTCGCGCCGCGAGTCGTTAAAACGCTGGCTCAATGTCCATGACGTTCATCAATCTCCTTCTTCCTTCCTTTCACAGCGGTAATTACCCTTCCGAAAGAATCGCGCCGAGGACGCTCCGCGGACGTGTCCGCGTCGCTCCGTTTTCCGCAGCAATAAAAATGCCTGCGGCTTCGGCCAGGGGTTGCAGGAACAGGTGCGGTGGTGGTTCGCGCCGAGGAGGCCTTGATCGTCATGCTCGTGTTGGTGCTGTGGGTGGCCGCCATCGCTTTGTTCTTTAACCGGTGGGGCAAGATCCGCATGCTCGAGCCGTACCAGCCGAAATTTCAGCAGCAACACCGGCAGCAGAGCTGCAGCCTGGTCGATCCGAATCCGCTCCAGGTAAGCCCCGGCTCGCCGCGACTCGCGTTCGCATTTCGCCCCTGCGACTACTCGTCGTAATTGATTAACGCGCATAATGCCCGCGGCTGTGTCGCGTACACATACACACACACACACACACCGCGGAGGAATGCGGTGTATCGTCGGATTAGCATAATCCGTGTGATTTGTGCGGACCCGCGCGCGCGCGGGAGGAACCGGAGGTGGACGATCGCGTGATATCGTGTTGTTTCGAATTCCGAGCGAGATTCCCACGCAGAACGCAATCCGCGGCCGATCGTATCGCGGATCGATCGTGCGAGCGAATCGTGGTAGTTTCGTCTTTCGACTAGTAAATATGCATATATAACGAGCACGCGACGCTCGGGATCGAGGAAGCGGAACAAACGCGCGTTTGTTCGTTTCACGAATTAGTGCGCGCATTTCGTTTCTCGCGTCGGCGATCCCCCGCCGATGTATTAATGTCGCGGTACGTTCGTAATTGAATTGGACCTCGCCAACTTCCCATCCCTTGTTCTTCCCCCGCCTCCTGGGCGCAATCACAGCTACCGGAGGATTTGATGCGGATATGAATCTTGCAATTAGCACGATGGGGATTAAATTTCCGAATATATATAATACATATGGCGATTATACGGAATATATATGCGCATGCGGCAGCGCGTGCGCCGAGATTGTTCACTTGCTGATTATTTGCCGTATAATTACTGAAATAACGGCGAGCGTTAGCACGTTGCGTACCGCCGCCGAGAGAGGCACGTCACCGCTCGGCACGTTAAACCAACAAACAGTCGGCCGACCGACTGATCGACCGTCCGTTGGAGGAGGAGGAGATTCGCAAGCTCCAGAGAGACTGTAATAAGCATCACAAGCCCGGCAGAGGTACACACACACACACACACACACATACCTGAAATGCTCTCATACTTTACACAGAGTGTCCGACTATAACGTATACAACCCTCGGCTGCATGTAGGTGAAACCAAACTAAAACCGAGGAGCTCTTCATTCCATTTCGCGAACAACCAAGTGAAATTTCGAGTCATTAGTGGAAGAAGATTGCTGAATCTCGTGGCGAATGGATGGACGTGTGCTTCTCGACTAGAAATTTATCCCATGGTTCCGATCAGGTTAACCTCATACGGACATCAGGTCCCAAAAAGGTAATACTATCGGGTCCTAGTAAGTCATGTAACGCAGCGTGAATATCAGGACCTTAGTAAGGATTCATAGTCAGGTCCTTATTAAGTTACCTTATGGAATCCTTATTACGTTTTTTCTTTTCTTCAAATTATGGCTCCTGATTACTCGCCACGGCTATATTGGATGATGACATTAGAAATAAGAAATGACACACTGAGAATTCTTTCATGTCATTTCCAAATAAAAAGATATTTGCATAAAATAATATTTTAGATCGCTCGAGCATACTTGTAAAATGTTTCGGAAAAGAAACATCAAATGAATATCATAAGATCATAAAGTATCACAAGGTGACAAGACATAAGGTAGTGTTAAAGAGAAAAGTTACATGTCACGTTAATTTTACAACTATTTATTGACTGCTAAAAGAAGGATAGTTTCTATAGCATTTTACAAATATATTCAAGTGATCTAAAGTGTTTTTTCAATGCAAACATCTTTATATTTGGAAATGACATCCAAAAATTGTTTTGTTAAAACTTGATAATGCAAATCATATCAAGTACAATGGATAAGATCCCGACAAGGACCTGATTCATTGAACCATATCATATACTAGATTGGTACATTAAGATCCTAATGTGGATCCCTAATGTGTCCCAATCATTATAACCTTATAAAGGTCTTTCTTACTCATTTGTCGTTAGGACATTACAAGGAGTGACTTACTTAGGATTACCTTTCATTCACTTTATTAGATCCTTATCAATGTTAGGTGATGAATGTTAGGACCTGATCAAAATTTCTAGTCGGGCTGTAGATTAGGTGAAACTCCACGGGAAAGGACGTTACTGCGGCCTTCGCTCGCCGCTGATAAGCGAACGGCGAATATCGCGCATCGATCGATCTTCTTTAATTAATAACCCGAAATGTTACTCGCAATGGTTGCTCGCAAAATCGTGGGGTATTTTCTCGACCAGTGCTCGACCGATCTATCAGTGCACGTGACAGTTGTATACATTACCGTCGGACACCCTGTATATAGAATGTTCCGTGTCCGGCGAATGTAAACCGCGGGCGGATATCGGAAGAAATAACGCAACTGTGGGACTTTTAATAGCTCCCTGCGAAAGGAATACCTCGCGATCGATCGATCGTCCGTTCGTAAGATCGCAGCCGACGGACGTGGTCTTAACTCGACTGAGGTTGCCTCGCGCACTCATCACGTCGACCGCGTGTAAACAAGCCAGGAGCCTACGAGCGCTTTAAAAATTTATCTTCTGTACGCGCGAGAGGCGAGTCACGTACGCGATAAGATCCTCGCTTGGCTCCTCCGGCTTCGCTTGTAAGCGCCAGAAATTCACTCGTATTCATCGCGACCTTGCGATGATCCTGCTGCGCCGCTGTTGCTCAGGCGACCGTGCTATTTTCCCGAATCCAATGCATATTCAGTAAGTCAAATCTGTCGATACTGCCCATTCATGTTGTTCCGGACACGCGATCGCGAGTGCGCGCTCTCCGGCAGTTCTCAAATCTCGTCGTTCCAGCTAACCGCCAAATGCACTCGCACGGGCTCGTTCATTATTTATGGCGGTAAGCGCGAGATACAAGCGGAGATTTAGAGCGGCGCGTTTGTTACGATTGTGCGGCGCGTGAACGCGCGCTGGCCTCGCTCGTATGACTGCAGATATTTCATGATTCGGCCGTACAAAAGGCAGACAAACATGGAGCGATTTATCAGCGAAAGCATCCGGGAATTACGCGATCTTTTGCCCGCGATCGATCGCGCCGCTAGTTAACGGCATAACGGACGCGCTCAGCGGCATGTGAACGTGTTCCCAGTCGCTTTTACGAACCGGCGACCGCATTCCGCGGGAACACGAGCGCGACGAGTATCTCCGCGCGAGCGAGATACGCCGGTGGCGGGAAAGCGCGTAAAATAAAGTTTCGCTCCGCGAATCGAGTCACTCTGAGGCCGCGCGGGAATCGCATTCGCCAAATTTCTAGCTCGGGAAATCTAGTCTATCTAGTCGGATCTAGTCGGGCGCCGAGAAAGAGAGAAAGAGAGATATATATATATATATACTTTTTGTATTTTATTTTAAAATACGATTATTATACATTGAGTCGGCGGGCTGGACTTTGTGTCACTCGACACGCAGCGCTGGGAAAATTCGATGAATGAACAATGCGCCGCGTCTGGAATCGGCTTTTTGCGCGCAGGGCGCGGCGAGTATCGCGCGGTGTCAGTCATACACACACGCATGCACACACGCGTTGGATTTAACAGCACAAAGGAATACAAATCACGATGCGAATGGGAAGCGTCCGATGAAATGGGCGAAATTGGCGGGACTCGCGCGATGGCAGATCGCGTTTCGTCGCGCGTGACCTGTCGAATGAGTCGTCGTTCATTTTGCTCTCGCGAAAATTTTTTTCCGATGGAACACGTGTAACGTACACGGATACCCGTGCGGTGCACCGACGTCGATATCATTTGTCCTACTAATTAAGCACTATCAAATATTATAAAAAACAACGGGAAGAATAACCGGGTTTTGTTATAGAACGGGATGCTAAAAGATATATTAAATGTTTGTGCACTTTTTTGCCCTTTTTCGCGTCCGACACATGTTACCAAGCGTGGCATGGGAGGGACAGAAGCAGGAGGGGAGGGGCGTGCACGTGCACTTGATCGTGATACTCCGGATACGGATACGCTCTCGCGACGCCGCCGGCCTGCGAGCAATTATTTTCAGATAGAAATCGCCGTTCGCCAATATGTATTTCTACGTCGATGGTGATTCAATCGCGGAAACGTTCGATTTTCGCGGATTGCATCGCGAAACCACCGTATCAAACACACGATCCCGACTTCGATTCCGTTCGCATCTCCGCGCATCCCTTAAAATTAACGCGGTTCGCTGCGATGGGGCTCTATGTGAAATCGGAGATGATAAATTCTCTCTCTCTCTCTCTCTCTCTCTCTCTTTCTGGATAGTTTAAAAGATTGAGCAACTAATGATTCGTTGAGTGTGTTTTGCCATTTAAATTGCCACCGTTATAATTATGGAATCCTTTAAATCTTTTTAATTAATCTACAACTATGTGCTATAATTTCGAATTAAGAAAGTTAAAATATTCGTATCGTCAGCAAGTTGGCAGTGAATTTAATTAAATTTATAGCTTATAAAACTCATCTAATTATTGTAAACCTGCTCATTCAAGTAACTGTTCATATTTTACTTGCATGTTATGTTGGACAGAAAAGAGAAAAGAAAATATGTAATTTAACGTATTTACTCTTATGCTCTTACATTTATATACATATATATAATTAAATAATATATATATATAATTTTCTTTAACGTTCTTGAAAGACCTCTCTTAAGATAGAAATAAACACTTTTCTCTCTCTCTCTCTCTCTCTCTCTCTCTCTCTCTCTCTCTCTCTCTCTGTCTCTCTTTTTCTCTTTCTCCCTTTTTCTCTCTTTCTCTCTCTCTATCTCCCTTGAAGCTACTCTTATTGTTTGATATTTACAAATGATTGTACCGAAATCAATATTTCAACGGACATCACTTCATCAAACAATGAAATCAGATCGCAGAGACCCACTCGAAATTCTCGATAAAATAAATATTGGTTTCGACCAGCGTGCCTAATAACACAGCGGAGACATTAATTAGTCGCGCTGACGTAATGCATCGCGGAAAATCTAAAAGGACTAAGACATCACTTCGCTCGCTCTCTCGCTCGCTCGCTCGCAGGTCACCACTTGGCCCGACCGGTTGTTTCCTAATGTAACTACGTAGACGGATAGTTGGCGCGAGACACTTGGCGTGATTCGATCGAACC